ATGTTGTGTACTCTTTGCCGTTGTTTTATGACTTTTCTCTAAAAATTACCAAAAAAGGAAATTTTGAAAAAAAAAGAATAATTTTTGTATATAATTATTTTAATATTTTATAATTTGATAAGAATTGTATTAAAATTATCAATATTTTTGTTTTTTCAATAATTATAGTAGAGTTTTTATTAAAAATTAATTAATAATATTATTATTTTTAATATAAATTCAAGTAAATCTATTTAAAATTTTAATTCAGATATTTTAACTACTTTTCTAAAGAATTATTTAATATAGAAGATAAAGTTTTTAAAACTATTTCTTTAATTATATTTGAGAGTAAACTATAATTTATTAATATATATTGTTATAGTTATGTGGATATATGATTTATATATAATGGTCTAGGATCCAAAAGTTCAAAAGTCTGGCATAAAAGATTGAGTGTAGCAAGGTAAGAAACTATAGATAAGTCTTGGGTACTGATAAGGGAACTATGTATATCTGATAAAGTAGAAAAAGTTTAATAAAGTTTAGAGTTAACATAGCTAATTATAAAGTAGATAGCCCATTATTAGTTAGAAAAGTATAAATAGCTTACCAATGTATGCTGAGAAGGCAGAGCTAAATGTATTAAGAAACAACCCTCATTGAGAATAAAAATAAGAGTTAGTGATATATCAAAAAAACAGAATACAATAAAGAGACACTTATCTTTGGCCAAGTCAATTATCACATCTCTGCCTTTTCTAAGTGTTCTTTATAGGAGGCATTCTCTTATTTGTGTGTTTATGAGTATTTGTAAGTTATTTGGTTATACGAGGTATTACAGATTAGCAACGAACTTGCCAAGTTAGCTTATAACAATATATTTAATTGAATTATTTGTTTTATAATAGTAAATTTTTTTAATCTTTAGATTCATAATGCAATAATTAACATTCTATAAATCATATTATAAAGTTAAGATCAAATTCTTTAAGAAACAATCTCTAAAAAACAGGTAGTAATCTATTTCTATTGATATAACTATATATAACTGATGTTTTTAAGTATAGTTGTCTATCACCAGTTAGCACGAGTTCTTAAGTAATACAAACCAGTCTATATATAAATTGTAATAAGGATAAATATTTGAAATCAAGTATGATTATCTTTTAATATAGTTAAATTACTAAAAAAAGTAATAAAAAAGTAGATATTGAACTAGTAACATATTTCTAAAGAAAGTTATAAAAATTAAGACTGGAATGAATAGCTTTCAACATATCAAGAATTCAAGTATATAATTGTATCAAGTTTTACTAACTTAATTATTGAATGATTTTAATGAAAAGAGAAATTCACGAACTACTCCAAAGAACTAAAAACTGAAGAAGTTCAAGATAAAAAAATTTAATAGTCTAATAGCTAGACCACTTTTAATAAAACTAATTTAGAAATAATTAAGAAGGAATTATATATCTTTTCTTAAAAAGGTGATAGGACTTGTATATAGAAGTAGAATATATATAATTATTTATATAGATATGTTTACTTCAAATACAGTATATAGTATATAAGGCCTTATTTGTTATATCTAACTTTAATGAAAATGGTTCTCATATAAAAATCTAGATTTAGATACTCGGTAATTATTATAAAGTAATTAAAATATAATAAACAAAAAATGTTATCCTAATAAAAGCCTTATTATAATCAAGCTAATTAGAAAAAATAGTTTTGAATGACATCTTATTTATAATACTATAAAAATAAAAGATTGTGTTTAAGTCCATTTCAAAGCATAGATAAAACATACTGTAGACAGATTTTTAAATATCAAGATACTTATTAATAAAGACATATTAATCCATTAACAAAATAGATTCTAAATGATATGAAAATATACTAATTTAAATATTTACTATCAAAGTTAAAGAAGTTATTACTAAAGCTAACAATATGTTTATTTCAAATCCATCCAATATACTATATATTACCCTCAAATATATCAATATTATGATGCTCAAAACTATAATAATTATGGTTAACAACATATTTGTACAAGAAAAACTTTTCAAAAAATAAAAAAAGAGTATTATTTATCCAATATCTAAATTTAAAGATTGGCAATATAATATCCATATCACTTGACTTATAACACTCTTAGAATTTATAAAAAGATCTTACAAAAATTATTGCTAATAGATTATTAAGAGTTTTTCAAATCTATTTTGTTTTGTCTAAAAACAACTGGATTGTACTTCTTGAGAACAATATATATGAATTGATAACAATCACAAATTAAATTTTTTATAGTATACAAGGAAAAGAAACAAGTAATGTCATATGTTATTTCAAGATATAAGTAAAGCATACAATTTTGTTAATATGCAAAGGCTCCTAATAATCTTTAAACATATTAAAGTTTTAAACAAGCTCATTAATATTATTACTAAATACTTTTTAACAGATTCAATAAAGTAATCACTTTGAATTCAAATAAAAACAAATGTCAAAAAAATATTATAAAATTTGGATAAATTGAAATTATATATAAAGGAAGAATAGAACTTAATTTCAAATGATATCTTAAATAACTTGATTAAATTAATGAAAAATTACTATAGAGAGGTAAAATGAAAAGGAAGTAATTGTATTGACTATCAAAAATTTTATAATAAATTACTGATTCTTATCTTTAAAATAAAAATCAATTCATCTTAATTGATCCAACAGTTGTCAAGTTTGTTAATAAAAAACTTTTTTTAATAATTCTGACTCATATTATGTTTATATATTGATAAAAGAGAAACACAAAAAGAAAGAAAATACAGCATGAAATTTTTTTAGATTATTATTAAATAAAAATATACCAAAAACTTTTTTGATATATTTTTAAAGAGTGATGTAATAAATTAGAAAAAAGAAAATCACATACAGTATCAAAATATTCTTTTCTTTGGTTTAAATATTAACTTATGATGATATTTGCATAATGTAATAAATTACCTTATATAGCACGTGTACTATGTATTTTATGGCAACCATTGATATCATCCTCGCGTCACATCGATAATAATAGGGTCGATTGTAAACTGATTCCGGACTTGACCGGACGATCGGTATTCTCAGTTAAGGAACCTCCAAAAAAAAACAACCCAAATTCCAGTGTGTTCGTTTATACAGTATATTTAGCATCCACTATTTTCTTTTTATATGTACACATTTATAATTTATTATTATTGTAATATAAATAAAAAAAAATATTAAGAAATAGTTATTTAGGAAAAAAATATGGAATTATAATAGGATACAAGAACATTGACGGGCAGAATAATTAATATCCAAGTCGAATGATGAGATTACCGAAATGTAGAAAAAATTCCAAGAGAAAATAATAATAATAATAGTAATAATAATTTCATGACATTATCTGGCATTCGAAGGGTAGAATAATTTTCATCTGGAAACAGGAAGAGTGTATGCCATTCGTGAATTAAGATAACAACATTCCTTGGAACATTTTATCTGTTTTATGAATTTGAACTAGAACTACGCCCGCCACGTGCACGATATGGCGAACGCTGCCTCGACGACCGAGAAAGGCCACGCTTTTGGGCCGGTTGGGCTGGGGGATAGGGCCCAGGGTTGTCTTCATCTGGGGAATACCCCGGCCGATCCAAACTTCTCGAGGATCGTACAGGCGATGAAGGTGGTGATGGATCATTTGGTGGAATCTGAGGCGGCTTTTGTGTATAGTATGGCACCTCATCGGTATCTTGCAGATTACCCTCAATCAACACCTGAGAGTTTTGAGGTGATTGAGATCGAGGAATGGGCAGGGTCCTTTCTTCATTAGAGTGAGGAGAATTTCTTCGAGGACTAGCATTTTTATCGCGACGAACTTCTTGCGAAGATCTCGGACTGTCCCCTATGGGTGGTCCAGAAGGATCGGGAGGAGTTTGTTGTGGAAGAGTTTTTGGTGATGGGTCAAGTTGAGTCTCCAGTTGGAGGAAAAGATTCTTTTGTGTCTTTGATTTTTCAGAAATAAAGTCATGGGAACTCCTGGTTGAAGACTTCTTTGAGGGTCTCAAGGAAGAATTACTACTCGTCGCGCTTTTAGATTGATTCTTGTGAGCAAGTATGTCGATGGGCACGGTTCTATTTCTACCCCTCCGCAACTTGAAGAACAAGAGGACAAACACAAAAAAAAGAACGAGTAACCCAACGGTTAATCCTATCGCAATTGCTGCAGTGCTCATGAGTATAAAATCTTGAACTTATTTGCGAGGGAGAGGTTATACTATTTGCATCTACTCCTAAAATTTAGGAGAAGCATATGTAACAAATGCAAACTAAGAATAAACCTGAATAAAAATGAGGTATAAGAAGTCATCTTAAAAATGGTTCCGTTTGTATTGTGACATGAGTGTCGGTCACCGCGTTGAAAGGGTTTTGAAAATGGTGGCGTTCATCATTTCTTATTTCGTTGCATAAAGAAATTATTGCATAGAAAATGATCAGGATTGTTATCGTGAAGGCACATGGACTAATTAAGATGACAAATATTTCACATTAAAAAAAAAAAAAACCCCCAGAAATACAAATTACTCATTATCGAAATTTCATAGTTTCTGCATGGTGGCTTTGAATTCGACGCTGTTAATGAAATAAATCCATTTCCCCCGGATAGTAAAGTAATGGAAATTTCATTCAAAGCAAACAAACGTACTGATCAAATGACTTCAATACTGGTAACAATGAAATATCTATTTCCAATCCATAAGCGTTTCAATGGAAATTCCCCATTTAGTTACCCTTTATTAACACCAGTTTTTGCTGTTGGTGTCATTGTGCAACACGCATACATGCGGTGAAAAAAAGAAGCTCTTCTGCATGGATTATGCGTCATGCTGTCAAATTATAATATTTATGCCTCTTCACAAAACTATTTATAGAGAGAAGCTTTTTTAGGATTTTGCAAATAAGAATAAATGATTTTAAATGACTTTAATATCAGTGCAGACATGAGAGCCGTCCACTTCCCATCATAAATAATCTCGGCTACTCTTTTTTTTTTTTAGGTCACCAATAGGAATTCAAGGTGTAAACTGTTGCTATTAGCGTTCATTTCTCTAGAGTTCTAAATTACGAGTCATAATAAAGTTTGATAAAAAAAGGAACCACGGAGTATAATGGTTTAAACGGTCACAACAAATACGACTAAAGTGTACCTTACCTGTGTCATTTATGCAAGATCAATCAATTATTATGCAATATTGGCTAAACAAGCACCACAATAACAACCGAGCGTGTTATTTATAAGACAATAATTTATAGAATTACTAGATTTATTCGTCTCCTGGACGTCGACGATTATACTGTATTTGGTACGCATTCCAAAAATGTTATAAAGCATAAAACCCGTCTTCATTACGGCGGACCTCAATTCAGACATAAGAAATTTTCAAGAACCATAACAAGAGATAATAATAATTATCCGTTCCAAAAAAAAAAAAGAAAAGAAAAGAAAAAAAAAAAAAAATACTTATCACGATATACTCAAAATTTAGAAATCGTGGCTTCGCATCATTTTTTTTTTTTCAATAGAGGCTCGCTCTGCAAATTACACGCGGGAATAATTTACAAAGTCCCAAAGATGTACCCATCGATCATAAAGAGTTGACTAGGGAAAGGGTGAAACAAGACTGAAATCGCCTAGCCTGCCAGATACTCGAATCTCATTTATCGGAGGTGTATGTGTATCGTATCGTCATTATTACCAAAAGATTCTGATATCCTGTTTTTTTTATCTGACTTGCCAATAATGTACAGTAATTCCAAAAAAGTATAAAATATTCCCGAAAATTCCTGTTAACAAAACAATTGGTTGAAAAATGAGTATCACCTTTCCTGTGGCTGTGTGCGAGAATTTGGAAAGAGTGATTTCCTTCGTTTCTAATTGCAAGTCAAGCGTCCTATAACGCAATTGGATTTCTCGGAAACGTGAACGAAATTGTCGAAAATGTTTTCTCTTTTGTGTGACCTCTCCATTGGCGCGCGCACATACACAGCCTCACAATTTCAGCCGGAATGCAGGGCAGAAAATTCACGCACGTTTTAAATTAATTTATGGAACTCGTCCGGTGAATTCGTGCGTGTTATTATTGTAGCCTAGACTAACAAACATGAATTTTCAATCATACCTCGCACATAACTGCTGTGAATTACGAATACAACAAAGATAAGATAGAGAAGTCAAGTCGCAAATCGCGAACTCTTGCTCTTCATGATGTTTATTATTTTATGTGTTGTTAATATACATGTATATACAATAAACACGTTCTCAAGTTCATCATAAATATTATCATGGTATGTGTTAAGAACTTTCGTGCGGATATACTGCTGGTAGATACAATGGAGGTTTTTCGTAATTTCTTCATTCGAAGTCGTTACCCGATGGTCCCTGACCCTGACTAAGATCGACACTTGAAGAGGATATGTGATGTGTTCCGTGGATCTCTTGCGATGAAACTCCCAATTTCGATGGATCAACATCCTTGGCAGGCCCATACGGGGTAACAACGATTTTCTCATGTTCGCCTGTTCGCGATGTCTCGGCTCCCTCGGGTGCACTAATGATGGTGCTGTGCGGGCCAATATCGGTTCCAACAGCGCTAACCTCAGACGCAATGGTGTCCTTGGGTTGAAGGTCGATTAGTGGTTCTGTTATGATAGGGGAAATATCTCTGGATTTATCGTCATCCCTATCTTTTTTCCTTTTACAGTAACAGTAGAATCCTCCCGCACAAACTGCTATACCAATAGCACCAACTAAAATTCCAAGGACCGCTTGTAACACCGTATTTTGTAATGGATTCTGGCTATTAGTATCACTGGTGGTGGTTTCGGTCGTAGACGAAACTTCTGTTGACACACTTTCATCCGAAGGATCATCCAGCGGGAGCGCAGTCGCTAAAGCTAACGCGACTAGCAACGCGAGTAATACTACTTTTCCGCAATAAAAGATCATTTGATGTTTGCCTCTTGCAATTTGAAAAAAAAAATAAATACAGTAAAAAGAATTACAACTGGCGCAGGCCCATGTTCTTTGTAGTTTTTTTTTTTCCTTTAAACGTGCGTGATCTTTCAACGGGCAGTGTTCGGTTGAGGAAATTAAGGAGGCGTGGTTAGGCTAATCACACAGGTAAATTCTTTAACTTTTTACACTCTTAATACTGCTTATTTATCCAAAGCCTCACTAACGTGAACAAGGCCTTTAGTCTTCGATTTGTGAAATTTGAGTCAAGCCATAAAAAGTTTATTGACATAAACAAATATCAACATTATATTAAGTAAATCGAGATGATACTTTTTATTTAGAGGCGCGTGTTTTCTGACACGCCACAAATATACGTGTAGAATCAATGTCAAATTTTGGCGGCTTAGTGATTCGCAAGTTGAATTCTGCTCACAACGTGATGAATTGTTGAGTTCTGAAAAAAAAAAAAAAATAGGGGAATTCATTTAGTTAACAAAAAACATGAGAACAGGAGATAGTTATACAGTATCTCCTTTACAACCTCCTTTTAGAGTTTAAATTACAACTACCATTATTTTAAGTTATTTTAAAATAATGACTTTTAAGAAAACGCACTGTGCATGATAAAAAAAAAAAAAAAACTCCGGAGCAAGCGAGATACCATCATGGAAAGTTAAAATCTTTGTTATATTCACCAAATAATCCATTAAAATATAAATAAATTTCGTCTGAGACTCAGTGGCTGTGCTACCAAGACTGACAATGTATTCGAAAGATACCATCGCTCAAGCAAGACAATTTACTTACTGATTTAAAATGAATATCCGTTCGAGAGAATTTTTAAAGTCACAACCTAAAAATTTTTTATTTAATATAACCGAAATGTCATATTTAGACACCTGGTCAAAGTCTTATGGACGCGTTGAACCCAAAAATTATATTTTGATCCAATTACTCGATAAAAGAAAATTTGACACATGGACGGGGGATTTTCGAAAAATCCAAAACTTTTTTTTTTTTAAACATAAAAAGTTTTTACATATTAAACTTTTTATTTTACTAATATTAGCTCTTTTACATATTAAGTAGACAAAGAATGATGCATACCTTGAAAGTCTCATAAATTTTAATTACTAACATTTAAGCTCTACATCTATACCAATTTTTTTTTAGTATACTGTACATCTTATTTTTAAATTCAGTGTTTTAATAAACAATATATTATCGAATAACCATGCCATGTTTGATATATTTTAAATAACTTGCGTATTAAATGTTATAAATTTTTATTCAATATGTAAAAAATCTATTAATTGACAATAATAAATTTAATATTTATTATGTTAAGTAAATACTGTATATACTGTATTTGACAATGAATTTTATCTATGATGGAATTTTTATTAAATTTAATGCAAGCATTATATTATAATAGAAATTTGATAAAATTTATCATTAGAAATATTATAAGATTATTTAGTTAATTAAAGTTGATTTTATATATAACAAGTATTTATTTTTGAATATAAATCAAAAATTTTTGAAATCTAAAATAGCAATCCCAACATAATAATCTAAAAATCATAATTTGAAATTATAAAATTATATATTTATTAATTTTATTAATTAAAAATTATAATAAAATTTCAAAACTATATAAAAATTTTTAATTTGTAATAAAAACATAAATTAAATATAATGTATAGTTTGTATAAGAGAAAAATAGTCAAGTTTAATGATGTAATAGTTATTATCTATACTCAAACCTTTATTTATAATTGTTTTTTTTTTTGACTTTTTTTTATAAATTAATAATTAAAAAACTATATTATTTAAAAATATATATATATATATTTTTTACAAATAGCATTAAATGCATGACTTTATTAAACAATTAAGTTATTAATCAACACTAATAATCATTACATGAATAATTATAGCTAGCCATATAGGTAAATCCTTACAAACTCTGAAAACTCAAATCGAGAAAGAGAAAAAATGGTAAATAATATCTAGTTACTAGTTTACTATTGATCAGTAAGGGTATTCGCTGGAGTAATGTGGTGATGTATATGATGGTTTGGTTGTTAAAATCAGGTTTTTGTTATACTGGGCCTGGAAACCAGTTTAAAGCAAGCTGTAGGTCATAGGTCTTTCCTTACTAGGGGCCATAATCCAAATAAGGCATGATCATCTTGCGCCGATCTTTTGGAGGGGGTAAGCTGACCACGGTTTTTGGTAGGATCTTGGGAGAAAGTTGAAACAAGAGGGGTCCCATTTTTCACCTCCTGAGTTGACTAATGATGGAGTTATCAAGTATTCAAATTAAGAGCTCTCATCTAGCTGTTTACTTCTAACTAACGCAATGGCAGTCTAGGCCCTCAGCAAGTAAATCCTTATACTTTTGGTGCTACCAGATGAAATTCCCACCGTTACTACCTCTTCTCTATTTATATGGCTTTGTAAAGTAGCCAGTAATTATGAAAAGGTATGCCTAAAGTTTCGAAAATGTGATCTCCCTTGTCACAGATTCACCTTTCAATCGTGAGAAGTCTTATTTGGTCCTTTTCATATGGATGAGTCCACTGTCTTGACCAGAGAAAAGGCTTGATGTTCCATGGGATTGATGAGATATTTTGATAAAAGAGGGAGTGAGAAGCCTAGAAAAAAAACCTTGAAAAAGGAAAAAACTATCTGTTAGCAGGAAGGGTATAAAATGAAGGGGTAAGTGTGAACGGGGAAAAGATGAAGAGGTAGGAAGGTTAAGAAGTATATAAAAAAGAAATAAAGGTATTCATATTTATGATGACTCAGGCATACACAAAGCCTCGCTCCAGGAGTGTCACAGCTCTATAAGACAGTTCTCTTTATCTCAGACGTTTGCCATGTGCAGAGTTCAGGTCCACTTGCATTTCCCTAGACATAATACTTTCTATACATCAACAAGTCAGACAACAGAGCCTCGTGTGGATCAGCACATCTCAAACTCTATCTGCTGGAAGGGGAGAGAGAACTTCCTTAAAAGAAACTTTTCACGAAGTAGAGGGGAGTGGAAAAGAGTTTTATTATTTAAAAATATATAAATTTTATCAAATTAATTTAAATTAAATAAAAACAAAATCTTCACAAGATATTTTAAGTCAAATATAACAATCAACATTTTATTTTCTTGATAAATTAATATTATAATTTTTATTTGTTAAACTATTATAACTAGTTTATTAATAATAATAATAAATTATTTAATTAAAAAATTAAAAAAGAAAAGAAAAAATTCAATATACAACTTTCAAAAATTCTTATATAATTAATTATTTTTTTGAAAAATATTTATTTAATTAAAAAATTTTTTAATTATAAATTATATACAGTATAATCAATCACCTTGATCAAACAGGTCTATAAGTAGGTGATATCTGCTTCTGTATCATAAACCTGATATGGTTGAACTCATATCTGGAATAAACCTGATTCACGCCTATTGAGTTTGTGAATCCTTAACCAATCAAAAATGGATTTTGAACTTAAAAGAATTGAAAAAAATTCTGGGAAAAGAGTAAACCTTCTACCAGTAGGATGTATAAAAACATAAAGAATATATTTTAGGCCCAGAAAATCTATTGGGAAACCTTGGTATAAGAAGTAATTCGTGCACCACACCGAAGTACCTAAAATCTCTGGTACAGGTTAAAGTATATACAATGGTTTGATAACTAGATTACTCTATAAAACATGTT